ACCGGCGCGGGGGGCTGCTCACAGCAGCAGGGAGCTGGGCAGGGCGCTCGCGTCCCTGGCGTGCCATGGTGGGTCCTGGGGGGGCAGCACAGGCAAATGGCTGTGTGGGCACCTGGTGCAGCGTGAGATGCAGCATGGTGGAGCCAGCTCTCCTGTCCAGGCTGAGCATTCCTGTCCCTCATCAGGGAACCAAGTGTGACTTAAAAGCAAAAGCAGCTCAAGAGATGGGTGCTGCCGGGCCAGCAGGGATGGGCAGAGCTCTGGAGTGAGCTCAGTCCCATGTATCCAGCACTACCTGTGCAGCTGCAGCCCTGTGCCGCGCCACAGAGACCCCCTTGAGGCACGGGCTGCCTTCCAGAGCGTCCCAGTGCCAGCCCCACACGCACCCCACAGCTGAGCCTGGCCCCGGCGCCGCGGAAGGGAGAGCAGCCCAGGAACGTCTGCGGGGTGGGGGGTGGCACGGTGGAGGAGCATCTCTTCCTCCTTTGAGGTTAAGCAAAGGCTTTGAGGAAGCTGCTGAGGTTTGCAGATGTTATGTCACGGCTTCTGTGCGCCTTCGGGGCTTTGCTTCCTGGAGTGCGGCTGCGTTCCCAGCACATCACCCTTCCCTGGCCTCTTGCGCGTGGAGCCCTGGAATGACGCAGGCTTCCGGGCGCCTCGGCTCTGTCTAGGGTCAGGCCGGGGCCAGGCAGGGCTGCCCGGGGCTCCGCATGGCCGCCAGCCTCCCCGAGCCATGTGGACACGCACCACGTCCCTTTCCTCTCCGTTGCCTGGCAAGGAGCAGTGCCGGCCCCTCTGTCCCAGTCAGGCGCTGCCAGGGCCTCGGGGTCTGCAATGTGCATCACCCCCTCTGCATCCCGCCCTTCCCTGGCCGGCGTCCCCACATGTCCCAGGCATCGCCCCCGCGTCTCGGTGCCAAGGCTCTTTCTCCTGGGGAGGGCTCCTCACGGCCTTGGCTCCTGCCCTGCCCACTGGCACTGGGGCACCGCAGAGCTGATGGCTGTGCCCGGCAAAGCACGCGCAAAGAGGAGGTTTCCAGGGATTTTGCCCTTGGCTGCCCAGTTTCCATGCTGGTAGTGGTTATCCCTGTTTGCTACCTTCTATCTGCAGCCTCGGGAGATGGCTTCCTCCCGGTTCTGCGAGCAGGCGGTGATGGCCACCTAACCCCGTGGCTTTGAGAAGATCGAATACAGCCGTAAGTGCATCACACCAGGAGGTGTCTGTGACTGGGGGCAGCGGGTGGGGGACACACTGTCACCCTGGGGTCCTGCCCTCCCCGTGGGTGCCCTGTCCCTGCGCAGGGCCATAACCTTCTTGGGCATCCCCAAACGCCCAAGCCCGGGCTCTGTGTGCGACATTGCCCCACTGCTGGCCGCTGCTCTTTGCCAGGAGGTGGCACTCAGAGGACACAGCCCCTCCAGCACCTTCCCAGGGCTGGACACCCCTGTGTCCAGGGTGTTCCTGCCCATGGGGCTCCCAATGCTACCAATTTGGCCTCTGCCAGGCTGCCTGGCCCTGCCAGCAGCGGGAGGGCAGAGCTGCCCGCATGGGCAGGTATCGCACGCAGCCCGTGCGGGAGGGGAGACTGGGCTGGGCTGGGAGCAGCCGTCGCAGGCTGGGGCATGGGCGATGCGCGTCCATCGCGTGAGGAGTGATGTCTTCCAGAGTTTCTCTGCTTTCTCCCCCGGGAACCAGTTGAACCGGCAGGTGAGGAGCGGTGCCCGGCCTCGCTGCGGCACGGGCGGTGAGGCGGCTGTGTCACCGGGAGAGGAGGGGACGGGCAGGACGTGGCGGGCTCCAGCACGCACCGGGCTCTGCTGTATCCCCTGCCAGCCGTGAGCAGCTCTCG